GGTTGACTGCTGTAATCGTTGCAGCAATCAAGCACTTAAAAACTGGAATTCGAGAGAGCAGTTGCTTCAGAATGCTTGAGTTCATCGCAAAGTGCTGTTTGATGATTTTGAAGCATTACATTTGGCACAGCGAGTCGCTAGGTCCTTGTGGTGATGCACTACGATTAGACGGATGAGCCCAGTACGAAGGAAGTGAGGAATGATATCCGCGCCATGTCCAAAAGGACAAGCAGTGTCAGGAAGTACTAGTGATTGTTGCGAAAGACAGGCATGGCTGCGCGTTCCTCAAAAGGAGCCCGGGCACCGGGCAGTTTCATCGTTATTGTGGTGAAATCACAGAGCAAGATCAACTTTTCCGGAGTCTTCGGTCCAGGTTTTCCTGTTTTAGATCAGGCATGATGTAAATGGGCATTGCACCTTTCTGTGACCGAAGGCATTTTGACAGCACGTTATTCTCACAGCATCCCAGCAGATGAGCGCCCTCACGACCTTTGGTCGGGGGTCTTGGGCCTTTCCTTTTCACGGAGAGGAATTGCCAATTCGTGTACTGTGTCCTTCTTAGAAGCCTTCGGAATTTTGTTATAGGAAGCTCAATGAACCAAGTCCCAAAGTAGTCTTCTTTCAACTGAAACTGGAAGAGATCGGAAATTTCTGAGAAGGCGGTGTGGATGCTGCTTGAGAAGTGGAACTGCCAGAAGCTAATGGGCTGAAAAAGCTGAACGTTGTACCGGATCATCCGAAACGAGGCTCAGGCAGTCAGTCAAGGCAAGCATTGGATATCCCCAAGCAGTCCCCAAAACAGAAAGTGGGTGCGAACCTGCTAGTTGAGTAAAAGCTCCATTGAAAGACGCCTTCAAATACTTTAAGGGGGCGATTCCATCGAAACATTGGAGGTGTGCTGAACAAAAACCATCGTCTACCATGCCATGCTACCAAGATCCGTCGAACCCTGAAACCATGATCCGTCGAGCAATCTTCGTTTCTCTCTTCGGTCACTACGACCCGGACAGGTGACAGCAGTGCGACAGGAAGGGTCACGAGAAATGATCAGCGTCACTTGGCAAATGATCAGCGTCACTTGCTTCATGCAGCGTGGATCAACATGTCAGAATGGGATTTGGTCACTCATACTATATGCTGTTTGGATTTGTGATCCAGATGACATCCATGTTCAGATTTCTGTGGCGCTTTTGTGCCCGTTCACCGACCTACCCCCCTGTGATCTTTGGTTTTGCGAGTGCAATGGTGAGAAATGGGAGTCACAGGTTCCTCGCAAGTCTGAAGAGATTTGAGTCCGTTTTACGAAAAATAGCAAGTCTTTGTCAGTTTATGAAACGATTGGAGAAACTTCGGACGCTCCTGGGGCTCCTTGAAGGCTTTTTCAGCTCCTTGGGCTCCTTTTTAACTCGGACGGAGGCGCTCCACTCTCGCTCCGCACCATTGCGGCAGTCATTGGTGAGCACCAGAGCCCAGAGCTTCCTGAAAGGAGCTTCCTGCTTTGTCTCATGAGATACCGAAATACCTCATTTCCTGCCAGTTGATCCTGTTTGCAACCCTCATACCCTACTTGGCCCTGAGTCCTCAGTGTGAGAGCCCTTTTGAGGCCCAATTTGCACCATGAGCGGTCACCTGACAGGCCAGCTTCACCCGGCTTGGGTTTGGTCGGATTTGCACCATTCAAGTCAGACCAGGGAGTGGACGAAATAGTGGAAGGGCCTAGATATGTCTCATACACTGATACTGATAGTGTAGCAGCAGTTGTGCAGGGATACAGATGCATAAACATGCTTTGGATAGCTTGAAGTGAGGTTGTCATTTGGTGTGGCGAAGCAGACACTGACACCGCCCAAAATATAGCAGGTGAAGTAGTATATAACTTCTTGTCCTGCTGTCTTCGTTGGTGAAAGTCCATTCAGAATTTCCCCGCTGGTCAGGTCATGGCTTGCAGGCCCAGCCACCAATTCGGGCTGCGAGCATCTGAGTTGGTAAAGCCTTCAAGCACCAGTCATAAGTGATACCGTTTTGCATTTGGGCTAGGCCTTTTCTCTACCAAGAATGGTGGATTGCCAAAAGACGGTCATGAACGAACTATTGTACAATTGAGGTTCCCGTGCCTTTCAATGGACCGCCTCTGGCACGTCTGCATCTCGGAGTCAGGCTGTGTCGCCCATCTTATCGGATCCAAAGCTCTCCGAAGCACTCCGTTTAACTGTTTAGGTAGACAGATTTTTGGAACGACCGTTTGGAACGACGCTTCAAGGGGGCCGCAAGGCAGCCATGACGTGCGTCGGCAGCTTTGAGCATCAAATACTCGGAACATGACAAATCCAGTGGACGGTGATGAATGGATGCACGAAGACCCTCCATGCGTCCAACCAAGATGTTGCGTGTGATGTTAGGTGAGTGTTTTAAGCATTTTTGAGCTGGGACTGCCGCTGCGGAACTGGCCTTGGGGATCATGGGCCATGGGTGTGGACATTCAGAAGGCTGAAGAGGATGCTTTCAAGGAAACATAGCTGAGGAGAGAGGACAAGCCTGAAGGCGTTCTTCAGCTGGCGAAAGCAAGAGTTTTTCTTGTCAAATATGTCTCGTGTTGTTCCGCAATAGTGGGGAGGCTTGCCAGGTTTGTTTGTCAACACGCTGGCTCTAAGGCTAGCAATGGAGCAGAAAAGGAGAAGAACGGCATCTGAAAAGACATCGTGCACATGGTGCATCTTGGCTTGAAGCACTGGTCAAGCTGAGTTGTGCAATATATGATAATGTATGCATCAATTTTCGAGAGATTGAGTTGGTTGTGTTGAAAAGGTCGCATCGGATTCCTTGTCGTGTTGATCGTGGTGGCCATCACTGCACCAATTTGGGAAGCTTCGTCGCAATCAGTTAATCACCTACATGCTACCCAGAACATTCTAAGCAATTTGATCTCAACCTTTGAAAGGCTCGTCCCCAAATCTTCCCCTGCTTTTTTGTGATGAACACCAAGTACTGTGCTTTTTTCGGTGATGGGATGACATGTTCCTTGTGTGCCTTAACTGGAGCTGTTGGTGGGTGGGGCTGGACAACGTATTTTTCTTTAGGTGACGGTAGACAACATGTCAGCTTCTATGCCCAGTGTGTTCTGAGACCTGCGCTATGCCCAGTATGCTCGTTTGCTCCATTTGGTCGTGAAAAATCTTGGGACCCTGAACGGCAGCTTTTTCTTGAAAGCACTGACATATTATCCCAACTGCAAAGCAGATTTGGTATTCTCCTTTACATTCCCGCACATAGAGGATCATTGCTTGACACCGCTTGTTCCTTTGTCCATTTTCAGAGTCTATTTTTTCACGTTGGCCCAATGATTCGAATCTACGGTTGCAGATCAGCATGAGGCATTCACCATTGCTTCCTGCACTTCCACACGCCCGTGCCGCATTGGCCAGATGCTGACCAATGTCGAGGTTTCAAGAGCTCATGCGTCTATTCGGGGTGGCAAACGAACCATGGTTGAGTCAAGTCTAGTAACAGGTGCCACGCTAGTAGTAACAGGTGCCTTACTAGTAGTAACAAGAAGCTATTAGAAACAAGTGCCACGCTAGTAGTAACAGGTGCCTTACTAGTAGTAACAAGAAGCTATTAGTTAAGTAAGTGTATTGACATGTTTATTCGGGTCACTTTGCGGGTCACTCAACCGCACCTGTGGCCCTCAGAGACAGCGTAAAAGAAGTCTCCAAAATCACCCCATTTGTGGAACCTAAAAAACAAATTGTTGAGTTATATAGTATTATGTCTTACTTGCAACTTGCAAGCATTGGTGGATATATTTTTCGACCCCGTTGAAATTGTACATTTTGAAAGGATCCAAACATATCCAACAATGACAATGCCTGCAAGTGAATATAATTTGGACCTCATGAACAATTTACATTTTCAGGGGTCGAAGAATACAGTGAACATATGCAATAACTGTACAATGTGCATGATCGACACAATACTTAGAGATGAACGCAGCGTGAAGTGAACCAATCGAGTAAGAGAAGTCTCTACACTCTATAGTGTTATGTCTTGCTTACAAGTTGCAAGCATTAGTGGATATATTTTTCGACCCCTCGAATTGGTAAATTATTCGTGTCGAAATTCTATTTGCAAGCATGTTGTACAATAAGCTATTATAGAGTTGCCACCAGCTGATGCAATGATGCGACATTAGACTTTACAAGTGCAACCAGTTGATGCAAACCATGTATTTTTACATGTTTTCTTCCACCCCCACCCCTCCCAGATGCACCTCATGATGCAGGATGTGCATTTTCCGTTTCCAGACGAAATTTCACCCTTCCCAAAAACTACATAGCGGCTATAATATGTGTTACTGACAGCGTAATGCCCCTCACGTTCGGTGCGGGCGATTCGTCAAGTTGGCAACAGCACAGGAGCAGAAAATCATTGAATGGCTGAATGAAAGAAGTCTTTTTTTTCTCTCCAGCAAATTTGTGGGAGTTCGGAGGGCTTACTTACGGCATTAGCTCTGGAATGCCTTGCCCCACCCACTACTCACCAGGCTCTTTGAAGGCTGACTCTGCAATTTCTCGACAAAGTAACCCTTTGTTTCAGGCGCAGTGCGCTGAAGGTGGCGGAGCCAGATCTGAGGACGCAGAGGGGAGAGCCTGTTTGAGGTTTTGGACAAGCCTCAAGTAAAGGAGAACGAACTGCAAACTAGACATTCTGACAGGAACTACTCCATGGTGATGTTTGCACCTTGGTATGTCTTTTGGCTGCATGATTAGTAACCATCGGCGGCTGCTGCCTTTTTGCACCTCGTTCTGATAGGCGATGATCCCCGCAAAAAACCAACCATTGCCGCTTTGCAGTGCTCCTTGGCCAACAACTTTGCATGCTTTTGCCGTTGCTCTGGGCAAATGCTATTTGGATGTCTCATCAATGAGTTTTTTGCAAATAGCGACAGTCTTGCTCGGCCAGGTCTTGACGGCAATGCCAGTGAATCTGAGATTGTTCAGTGCATGGTTCCACCGGACATCGTAGGCCTCAACCTGGTTGAGCTGCGTGTCACTTTCACGAACGCTTGCCGACCAGAGTATGTGGTATTCTTGAAAGCCTTAGTGAAGCCTTTGTGCATCTTGGTCTTGAGTCTTGATGCTAGAGTGGTGCCACGGCTGAAAGCTTCGTTTCAGCCGTGACAGGGCCAGTGGATTTGCAACCGACCTTGGCAGCGACACTTGGATTTTGAAGTCTTGTCGCCTTTTTTTCGCTGTATCGACGTGGCATGTCGACCCTCCGCAACCAGCAACCACGGGTCATGGACCTGAGTCACGGACTGAGATGCTGGTTTCACACATTTAACAGTAAATTGTAGATTAAATGAGCAGGATGTCCTGCGTTGGACTGGTGCTGCATAGTTGGCCGGCAAACATTTCTGTGCACAGTTGATTGAGCCCAGACAATTGCTTCCTCCCAAGAAAGCCACTACGAAAGCTAGCCTCAACCAGAAGTTGATTCCCCTATTTCCCTATTTACATGTGTTTGTTCTTGCGCACTTGCGATTCCTACGAGCAGTTTATCTTCACTGTGAAGTCACCAAGCCAACCTGTGGGTGTGCAGCATATATGTATATATTATTATACATTATATGTTTGTTATTTGTGCCTTCTGTGACTAAGGAACGCCATTACTGCCGGAGAGCCACGACTGGTATGTGGTCTTGCAGCACGCTTCACATGCGAGGCGTTCTCCAAATGCTGCTAGAGAAGGTGGTGCATCACATACGGGATAGGGCTTTTTCAGGTCAAGCATCCTTGTTTTTGGGTTCAATGAAGCCGTGTTCGCAGTGCGCAGCTTGGTCCAGCTTTCAAAGCCTTGGCCTTTTCAAGACCGAGGAGCACTGAGCAGCGGTGCACCCCCCTTTCAATGAGACTCAAAAGATCTTAAAAGTACCTCCAAGGAGCAGAGAAGCGCAGGTGGTCACAAGGGTCCTCCAGTCGTCCTTCCGTCAGTTTGCCAACTTGCCGACGAGGCTGCGGCAGGTGCCACGTCGATTCTGATTCAGCTCGATCGGCTAAGCAAAGCCAAGTGCACCTTGGAATCGTTGAAGTGGGAATAAGGGTTGGGGAATGTTCCATGTACTAAAACCTTGAACCTCGCTTCCTGAAGCTGGTGGTTCCCCAGATAGCGCTGCTATAAGGTTTCTTACGTCTGAATGACCGTGTGGTTGATTTGGGGCTTTCCTGTTGTTTGCCAAGCTTGTTTTCCTACTTGTTTCCCAGCGTGATCTGCAGTTACTGCCGCTGTCGTCGTGTCTCCCAAACTTGTTTCTTGCCCGTGGCCGTGTGAGCAACGTATTTCTCGGGTCTATGCGGGCATCCTGGTGAACACTGTGGGGTTATAGCTTGGCATGCAGATAATGATATCTGCTGGTGGATAGGCGCTTGCGATGAGGTGCAGTGAGAAATCTGCTGTCGCAGAGTTCGGTTACCTTGAGATTCTCGGTGGTGGCGAGAACCAAATAGTAATAAGCGGATCCGGCTTGCCCAAGGTGACGAGATTTTTAGCGAGTGCCGGCAAACCAACCCAGTGCCATTTGGATGCAGTTGATTATGAATCAACTGAGTGAATCACTCCAAGTCTGAGGTACAGAAAGGGAGTTGAAAATATCTTACAGAGCAGACAGCTGATTCAGTTGAGTTTCGAGTCAAAACAGCAATCTCTTGCTCCACATTCGTCAAGTTTTGAGGTTCACCTTCCAGGAATTTGTCTCATGGCTGCAGTGCTCTCATTTTTCTCCTACCGAACCTTTGTAAAAGATGTCGTTGAGTGCTGGATGACGGCGACGGCAACGGTTAAGTAGATTTGCCAGGCTTATGAATGAAGTTATGACGAATCTTCTAGCTTCCTAATCCATGAGATCGCGAGAGCTTGACAACGTAGCGACATTTGTTATATCCACAGAAGTCAAAGAGTCCGGTCTCGCAGGTAAAGAGTGCTGCAGCCCTTGCCTATGAAGCAGAGACTGGACTTGCGCAATAGACACATGATTCACTGTATCTTTACCCCTGTGATTACTACCGGGAGAGTGTCAGAAGCAAACAGAGTCAAGCCCTCATGTTTGAACTGTCTTTCAAAAGGCCAGGTGTGATGATGAGATTAGCAGTTGTCACAAGAACTTGACATTGTAGGGAGACATCCAAGGATCCCAATAACTTGACGACGCTTGAAGCCTATGCTGCGTGGTGGCATTGTGGAATAGATGAACTTAGTATATAAGAAACAAAGTTGTTTCAAGTACTGAAAGAAGTGCTCTCAGCGCTAAGCTTTTCCAACGTCACACCACAACCTTGACAGCTAGTCTAGCCATTTCTTGACTTAAGTTCAGGTCCCTGCTGCATGTCCTTGTTTTGAAGCTAGAGTCTCTACTAGGAAGAGGGTAACTTTTGCGATGAGCAGGCTAGTTTAGCAGGTTGTAGAGAGATCATTGGCAAGGCCAGCAAGGACATCAAGTTCAAGAGAAAACCAAACCACGGAAACAATTGTGGCCCCGTCCAAAGATTGTCACGAACATCTAAAGAATGGCCTTAACATCCAAAAGATAACAAGCTAGTGAGTGTTGCACGTCAACCAGATTGCGGTAAAGGGCAAATGAGTTCGGCAGTCACGCATCGCTTGCATTGGATTCTTTTCATTTGGGGCCTGGGGACTTGAGGTTTTGAGACTTGAGACTTCAGGGTTTGAAATCGTCTCGTTTGATTCAAGACGTTTGAACACTTCTGCATGTTTTACTTAGGTTCATCTTTTCACCTAGGTGTTTTCAGGGCCTGGGCAAACAAGTCCTATGTAGCTTATCTTGAGTGTGCGTGTACAACCTGGAGTCATGAGCTTCTTGGGCCTCCTAGGTAGTTTGACTTGTATGAGGTGGCATGCGTATTGGAAAAACTACTTCCCACTTGGTTCTGTTCATAACTAGAAACACAGTCTTGGCCTTTGCCTCCGTTCCTCACCTTGTGAACTTTTTGCTTTGCATGTGAACCGCTGGATATATTGAAACTTGAATTTGGACCTACTGGATATTCCAACTCCTTGAGATTCGACAACTTCCTTCTTCAAGATGTTTGGACCCCGCTGCAGAAAAACCCGGACTCTTACAGACCTATGTTCTCTTGCCAAGGTTTCGTCAGGGTTTGATTCATTCATTTCGTACGTACTTTATCTTGGGTGTGTAAACCGTAAACCTGTTCTTCTTTAAACAAGCAGTCATAAGGAATGTACTTGGGTCATTGGACCAGCGACAACACACCTGTTTTGCAGCTCCGTGCATGGCCGGCGGGCCAAGCCCAGAACCGCGAAAAATGGTCAAGAGCTTGCTATTTGTAGCTAACATGGCTCCATCAGTGTCATCCTGCAACCACAAGTAGCAAAGACTTTGTATAGACGTTTGCTACTCCCCAAATGGATGGTGTGAATAGACGTTTGCGTTCACCTCTGCCAAAACGCCAGCTGCAACGTCGTTGATGGTTTTTTCTTTGGGCCAGAAAGGAGGCGAGAGCGGTCGTTGAGTTTCGTTCACAATTTTTACTTAGCTAGTAGTAACAAGGGCATCGCTACTAGGAGCAAGGACGCTACTAGGGGCTCCTGGCCTTACTACTAGGAACAATGTTCGCTACTAGGAGCATTTTTTTTCTGTTGCAATTTGCTGAGTTGGACAATCCTGGACGTTGCACACTGGGCTGCTTCGTGGCTCCTTGGCGTGAAGCACGGCGCATTCTGACCCTTCTTATCCTTGCATGGGATAGCGCCATGAAACACAGGTTGACCGCTTTGTTTTGGTCTGAACCGATCGTTGTTCTGCCGACTTGATGAATAGTCCTGGATCATGTCGCAAATCAAGTGGCTGGCACATTTGAGTATATAGTGGTGTGGACCAATCTCATATACCCTTGGTTTCCACATGTTTCCACCATAGGATCTCCGACAAGAACTGGGATTGCATTCATCTGAGAGGCATCCCCAGCCCACAAGCTGACGCTCCTCAGGAGCTCTTTTCGACTGAGCAGCTCCAATCCATGCAGAATGAGATTACCGTGGCCTCTTCACAGGCAAGTGGGGCGTGGCTTGGTGAATAAAGAATGCCGGTTGCTTGGCCTCTTCCTAGCTGCTCAGCCGCCACCCTTGTGCATGGCCCGCCGAGGTTCCCAATGGCGGCTGGTCAGTTTGCAACCTCAAGCTTTTGTGGTGACAATCCAGGCGCGGTTAGGCCCTTTGGTGGTGCAAATATATTCATTGAACGATGGATCGATCACACCAGTCTGAGCGTAAATAGTACGCCTGGAGGTCCTGCTTGTATTCGAGTTCAGGGCTTCTGCGACCCTAGCCAGGCATGGATGAACGTGTCCAATTTTGCAGAGGTCATGAATGTCTTAGTCTTGGATTCCTGCATTGGTGGGTGCAAACCAGATCCAGATATTTGATCATCCGTGGAGGATGGTGACTACTACAAGCACCCAGTCTGTGTATCCGGCCAAGCCCAGTGGTCAAAGCAGCTCGACTCTGTCAACTTTGATTTTCTGTTGAGATGGAACGATCGAGCAAACTTGTGAAGCAAAACGATGGATCTCAGTGGGATGTAGTCGGCCAAGCAGGGTGTACACTCAGTCAAAGCCTTAGATTTTGCCCTGACATGCATGCAGCAGCTTCTCTTCTGCGTATATGTGGAGTATACTTAGATGTTGCATGTGCCAGGATTGATGGCTCGCTCCGAATTCGATATGATGGAGACGAAAGGAATGGGCAGGCGCCACCCGACAGCTTGCTACGAGAAATCGCCTTCAAAGACAGCATATTCATAGAGTTTTTTCTCAACGTGAGCATTTGCCTTGATGGATTTTCCCAAGGTACGCCTTTACAAAAGACCAGTTGCCAATAGATAGATTTTCCTTGCATGAGATTCCTTCGGTAGATGTCTCACTTCAAAAGATGGCGGAGGCAACAGATGGCAATCGCTTTTGATGTTGCCTCTGATCATCCGGCACATGTAAACCCATGTCATGGAACAAGTTTTCCTTGCATCTGGCTGTAATTTAGATAAACCATGACAAAACAAATGAAGCTTGGTACGATACAACTTTGAGGATGGGTCTTTGGAAGAATACCCCTCCTTCAAAAGGACATGTATTTTTCAAGTGAGAATAGTCCCCATATGGTCACACTAGGGGTTCAGTTGATTTATGTTCAAACACATTGAAATGTGTTGAACAACTGGCCTGCCAGGCCTGCCTTTTGAAACCAAAGAAACACACACTTCGACATTGGTTTTCAGTTAGACTCAATTGCCACGATGGGAAGGAAGGTGAGGGAACGGAAAAGCGCATGGGTCAGCAAGAACCGTATGGTTGAACAAAGTTTCGACAGGTGTGCGGTGGCGAGCCTCTGTACAATCCAGCTGCGTGAGAAAGTGGAATGGTTTAGGGAAGGTATCATGAACCACCATGGAAACAAAAGGAAAAGTGGAACAGCGTGAGCAACAGTTGATTGCAGGTACGTCGGCAAGCGTCCTTGCCGATATCCTGGG